ACTGGGGGCTGGCTTACAGTTTTAGAGGTTTAGTTCATTATCATCATGGTGTGGAGTGTGGGGGCACCCAGGCAGATGCTGCAGCAGCAGCTGAGAGCCACATCCTGATCCCTAGGCAGAGACTCTGGGGTCGGCATGGACTTTTAAAACTCAAAGCCCCCCAGCACTCGGGAGGCAGAGGCAGGCGGATCTCTGTGAGTTCGAGGCCAGCCTGGTCTACAAGAGCTAGCTCCAGGACAGGCCACAAAGCTACAGAGAAACCCTATCTCGAAAAACAAACAAACAAAAAAACTCAAAGCCCTCACTCAGTGACACACTTCCTTCAATGAGACCACGCCCCCTAATCCTCTTAATCATTTCAAACAGGGCCACTCCCTGGTGACTAAGCAAGCATTCAAATATATGAGCCTATGGGGGCCATTTGTATCCAAACTACCACAGTGTCCTAGTTGGCTTTCTCTGGGGCTGTGATAAACACCAGGACCGAAAATAAGCTGGAGAGGAAAGGGTTTGTGTCGCAGTCCATCATGAAGTCAGGACAGAAACTTAAGGCAGAACTGAAGCAGAGGGCATGGAGGACCACTGCTTACTGGCTTGCTCTCCAGGGTCACAGCCTCACACCTCAGGAAGCTGGACCCTCCCACATCAGTCATTAATCAAGACTTGCCCATAGGCCGATCTGATGGAAGCATTTTCTCAAGTGGAGTTCCCTCTTCGCAGATGACCCTAGTTTGTGTCAAGAACTTAACCAGCACAGAGGTAATAGCGGGGAAATATAATTAAAAGACATCATGTGCATGCTTGGCAATGTTACTACACAAAGCCATTATTTTGTATAATTAATAAGCGCTAATTGAAAGAAACAAGGCTGGGTGGTGGATCAGTGGTAGAGTACTTGCCTAGCATGTACAAGGTTCTAAGTTCTATCCTCAGTACCACAAGATTATACATATAAAATTTATCTTCATAATCACTTTCAAATGTAAAGTTGAATGGTATTAATACATTCATAAGTTTGCACAATTACCAAGGCTACCTCTCTCCTCCTTCCATCTGTAATATGAAGATATACCCACCCAACAGCAGCTGCCAGTTTCCCAGCAATCCCCACTCTGCTATGTATCTTTATCATTTTGACCAGAATCAGTAAACCAATCAAACACAGTGAAGAGTAGAAGGACAAAGAGCAACCAGGAACATGAAGACAGAAAAATTAAGAAGCAGCTGGGGGTGGCAGTGTACGACTATAACCCCGGCAGGTGGAAGGCAGAGGCAGAGGACCCCTGAAGCCTCAGAGGCATAAGCTCCAGGTCAGCCAGGACGCCAGTGTGAGACCCACCTCAACAAACAACCGGAAACTGGAGAAGAAAGGAAAGGAAAAGAAAAACTGTATTTTACTGAAGCAAAGAGGAAGAGGAGGAGAAGGAGGAAGGGATGGGGAAGAGGAGAAGGGGAAGTGAGAAAGGGGAGTAGGGGGAGAGAAAAGAGGGAGCAGGGGAGGAAGGGGAGGAGGGGGAGGAGACTATGCATACAGCATTAGAGCACCCCAACACTTCTTTCCCAGTACCCCCTTTCTTCTTCCTACTGTGAGTAGCTTCTTTGGACTTGCTTTCTACTTCACAGATTCTCCCTTCGTCTGTGTCTAAATTCGTGCTAACACCATTCAGTTAGCTCTGAATTTGAGTTTTGAGATTTTTAATTCCTAAAAACTCCATGGTTTTTAGGTTAAAATAAAACCTTAAGTATATACTGTCCAGTTGTTGAGGAAATAGGAACCTAGAGGCCCTGACTTTAGCACAACAAGCCATTTCTTTATGGTCACTGGCCAATAATTCAAGTGTCTGGATTTCTTCCCATCTGTTTTGGGCGGCTTCTCGCTCATCATATTTCCTCCCAGGTTTCTCCCGTCTTTGCTCCCAGGCTGGAGAAGTATCTAAATGTTAGTTGCAGAAATAAGCAGCAGCTAGGGTAATATTTTCACTGTCCCTCTAAGCTTGTGTTTACATTTGCTGGACACACAGTTACCCCAGCCACCTGCAGTTACAGTGAGCTTTAGAACTAGACACTTCCTGAGTGTAGGGCCTGAGCCGCCCTGATGATTCTGGGCTGGGTTGCCGTCCATCAGGCTGCTGACTTGCCTCTGCCCGTCCCCTCACCCTTTGGGTGTACTCCTCTTTGTTTTCAGTCAAAAGCAGGTGTGGTTGCGCATGATCCACACCCTTGATGGGTCCTGGACTCCTGTTTGTTTCCTTAACCCAGAAGGATGCCAAAAATGACAGAGTCCCTTCCTGGCCCTTCCTGAAAGGGCGGGATAGCCCGGGTGCCAGGATCTCCTCGCTAGCCTCGCTCACTCTGGAGAGTCATCACCACGCTTTAGATATTTCCTGCTTCTATGGAGATGGCATTTGTGTTCCGTGGTGAGTTTTTCCTTGTCCTCATTAGGAGGGCTGGTCCTCCCTGCATTGCTCACCATCACCGGAAACTTGTCTGCATTTTAATCTAAAGTCTTAAAGGGCTCTCCGTGGTCACTTAGGTTCAGTTCTGTTTAAAGGGTGTGGTGAGATCTTATTTTTTCCTTTCTGCAGATCCTGTGTCCAGTAGAATTCCCACTGACAGTCCATGCCTCCTGAGTCATGTGTCAGAACTCTGTATCTATGAAGATCTAAGTCTGGGATTCATTTCTGTAATAGACTTGTTTGTCTCCTTCCCCTTCTGTGGCAGAAATCTTGACTCCAAAGTGAGTGATAGCATTCAGAAATAGGACCGTTGGGATGTTGTGTTGGAGGGGGGGGGCTCATGAATGAGGGTAGTAGTATCCTTACAAAAGGGGCTTCACCAGTTCGCAGATGCCAGTCTGGAAACCAAGAGGAGCCTGATAGGTACAGTGCTGACCCTCTAATCTCAGAACCCCAGTCCCAGAACTGCAAAACATGCTGTCTGTTTTCACAAACCATCTAGCATATGGAGTTTTGGTTTTTTAAAAAAATGATTATATATATAATATATATAAATATATAATATAAATATATAAATAATATATACATATGTGTATATGTATGCATTGCCTGCATATATGTCTTGTCTGTGCACCATGCATGTCCAGTGCTTGAGGAAGCCAGAAGAGCATTGGATGCCCTGGAATTGGAGTAGCAGATGGTTGTGAGCCACAACATAGGTGCTAAGAATTGAACCCAGGTCCCCTGGAAGAGCAGCATTAGATCTTTATTTGTTTGTTTTGTTTTTAAAGACAGGGTTTCTTTGTGTAGCTTTGGCTGTCCTGGAACTAGCTCTTGTAGACCAGGCTGGCCTCCAGCTCACAGACATCTGCCTGCCTCTGCCTCCCGAGTGCTGGGATTAAAGGTGTGCACCACCACAGCCTTAGATCTTAATCACAGAACCATCTCTAGCCCTGGAGATTTGCTTTTGCAGCCTGAGTTGATGAAGACGATTCCATTATGCCTTTCTTCCCCAACCTCTGTTAATTTTTGTTCTAGACTCTACCTTACTGATATTTTAATTGCCACAGCCTTATTCTTGTTTGGCTTCTGAGAATCTAGTGTGATTAGAAACAGCTGTATTTATGACATCAACCTTCATATCCAAGTGCACAGGCTAGCTCCACCCCTCTGCCTTTGATATCTCTCATAATATTTTGTAATTTTCTCATTCTTTATTACATAGCCTTACGGAATTCTCTCCTTAACATATTTTTTAAATTATGTGTATTTGTGTGGGTGAAGTCATGTGCACATTGTGCCGGTGCCCTCTAAGGTCATAGGTGACAGACAGATCCCTGGAGCTGGAGTTACAAGTGGTTATAAACTGTCTAATTTGGGTGCTAGGAATCAAACACAGGTCCTCTATAAGAGCAATGCAAATACAGTCTTCTAACCACTGAGCCATCTCACCAGCCCCAAATACAGGTTTTTTGTTGTTGTTGTTTGTTTCTTTTGTTTTAAGATAGGGTCTCGTTGTGTAACCCTGACCTTGAACTCACCTGCTTCCCAGTGCTGGGATTAAAGGCGTGTACCACCACGTTCAGCTAGAATCCTCTCTTGAGTAAAAGACTGTATACAGTTGTCAAAATTTGCAAGAAGGGGTAGGTTTTACTGTATATAAACAAAGATTTAATTTTTAAAAAAGATTTATTTGTTAATTATGTATAGTGTTCTGCCTGCACGTACCTCTGCAGGCCAGAAGAGGGCACCAGATCTTATTACAGATGGTTTTGTGCAGCCTTGTGGTTGCTGGGAATTAAACTCAGGACCTCTGGAAGAACAGTCAGTGTTCTTAACCTCTGAGCTATCTCTCCAGCCCAAATTTAACTTTTTAAAAAGGTGAGCTTTTTTTAAAAAATACACACACACACACACACACACACACACACACACACACACACATTTTTTTTTCATGTGCATTGGTGTGAAAGTGTCAGATCCCCGGAATAAGATGTGAGCTGTGAGCTGTCATGTGGGTGCTGGGAATTGAACCTGGGTCCTCTGGAAGAACAACCAGTGCTCCTAGCCACTGAGCCATATCTCCAGCCCCTGAAAGAAGTTTCAATAGCAGATATTGTATGTGTAGATAGTAATAATTTGACAGATCAGAGAGAGCTAAAAGCACTGCGATTTATAACACAGAATTCTCAAACAGAATCTGTATATCCAGGTCTGACCATGGTGTGTGTGTGTTGGGGGGGATTTAAGGGTCCATCCTAAATACTGTCAGTTGATAGGTCCCTTCATCTTCTGGGGACGGTTACCCGTTGAAGACATCATCAACAAGTATACAGGCCCAGGTACTGTCGCCTGTACCTGAGGTGAGGTCAGGCATCCTGCCGTGTTGGCAGTGTGGTCATTTGGCAGTCTTCAACATTAGCCTCCCCATGGCTCAGGCTCTCTCTGTCGACATTCACCGCTCACTCGCTCAAAGTCACCTGCTGGGGGCGCCACCAACGCATCCAGTATCAAGTCGTCACGTGTCCGGCTTGCGGCCTCACGGGGAAGGGGGGCACTCACATTTCCTAGTCAGCTGCCCCCTCCTGTTGGGCTGCGCCTCCGGCTTCATGGCCGACCCCGCTTCCGACCTGGGCCCCCTGGGATACCTGCTACTACTCCTGCTGGTTACCCCAATCTGGGTCGCACCAGTCAGTCACCGACACCGACACCCTAAAAGCCAGGCAAATTCACTGAGTAGTGATGCGGGTAGGTCCCCGTCCCAGAGTCTGGGACGGGTGGTCCTTTCAACCCGGGTGGAACCTCGGCCCTAACACCCGGCCTGGCCCCTCCCAACTCACACACACGTTGTCTCCCCTCCCCCACCCGTGGCCCGCCCCTTCCGTGGCGTGGCCTTGTGCCCACTCAGCATTTGTTTCTCTTCTCAGCCTGTGGCCAGTCAGTTCTTGAGGGTAAGATCTTGGGAGGAATGCCGTCCCCCTTTCAGAAATGGCCGTGGCTGGTCAGCCTGCATTACGCTGGCTTCCATATCTGCGGTGGCTCCATTCTCAATGCCTACTGGGTGCTGACGGCAGCACACTGCTTTGGCAGGTGAGAGGTGCAGGGGCTGTTAGGGGTAATGGGACAGGGACACAGGAAAGGAGAAGCCTGGACCATGTACATGCCCATGGCTTGGACTGCTGTACCCACTCTCAAAAGTTCTTTGCTCTGTACATCAAGCCCTATCCACCATGACTGATACACTCATGTCCCTGTCCTCTGGCTCCAAGTTGCTTCCCGTGGACCAACATAGATTTATCCGCCCTGGCTAGTGGCCAGACCAGTACCTGGATGCATGGCCTGTCCTCATGAGTGTAGCCCTTCTTTACCGACTAAGCTATGTTCCTACCGGCTTTACCCTCATCAGGAAGGTCCCCCACACTAGAGGCTGTGTTTTCCACAGTGAGCACAGAGCTTTCTCTGGGCAGATGGCCCTGCCTCCTGAGCATCCTCCAGTCAGGCCCACAGCTGTTCGGAAGAGGCCAAAGGGGGTCCATGTGCATGGTTATCCGGCTCTCATAGGCACAGACTCCTAGTGGTCCCCAAGGCTCCATCAGCCCAAATCAGGACCTCTGCGAGGTCTGCACTGGTCTGCAGGCAGGCACGTGCTTTTCAGTCTGGCATCTGTGGGCTGATGACGCAAGGGGCTGCAGGCAGTTGGCCTCCATTCTGGTCGACAGGGAGAAGAAGATTGAAGCCTTTGATGTGTATGTGGGCATCAACAACCTCGATGTGGCCACCAAATACACCCAGTGGTTTGAGATTAACAAGGTGATCCTTCACCCCACCTACGGAATCTTTCACCCTGTTGGCGGGGATGTGGCTCTCGTGCAGCTGAAGAGCGGCATCACATTCTCTGACTTCGTGCTCCCAGTTTGCTTGCCGCCTTTCAACCTCAACCTCAACAATGCGCCTTGCTGGGCCGCTGGATGGGGACTGGTCTCACAGCAAGGTACGAGCTAAACACGATCTCATAGGAGTAGAGCATAGAATGGGTGTTCATGACGTCTGGGAAGGTGAATAGGAGAACAGCCAGAAGATGCAGACACTAAGGAAATAGTCCACCGCCAATAAAATATAGCTACTGGAGATGAAAATTCCATTAAGAGGTTTATGGCAAGAGGGAGAAACAGTGACCTTGGAGATAGATGAATAGAAATTATCCATATTGAAACAGCAGCAACAAAATATGTGTGAAAGGGGAACAGAATGAGAAGGAAAAAGAAACTCCCAAAAGTAGGTGGGGCTTCCCTGTATGGGTGGGGCTTCCCTGTATTGGTGGGTATCTTGTGAGTGGGGCTTCCCTGTATGGGTAGGACGTCCCTGTGTGGGTGGGGCTTCCTTGTGTGGGTGGGGCTTCCCTGTGTGGGTAGGACGTCCCTGTGTGGGTGGGGCTTCCTTGTGTGGGTGGGGCTTCCCTGTGTGGGTCAGGCCTGTCTGTGTGTTGGGTGTCTCTTGCATATGTACAGGACTCCTCTTGAGGTGGGGATTCCATCCAGTTTTGTCCTCCATTGACCAAGAACCCAAGGATATCTGTGGCTCCTTTCCTCCAGGAACTAAGACTTCGCTGGACTCAGACAGGCACCCTCACCTGGCAGTTCCTCTCCCTTCTCCTCATAGGCGACACCTTGAAACAGCTACAGGAAGTCCAGTTGCCACTAATCTCCAAGTTCCGGTGCCACCTGCTCTATGGATTTTCATCTTACCTCCTGCCAGAAATGCTGTGTGCTGGGGACCTCGCGAATGTGAAGAATGTGTGTGAGGTGCGTCCCATTCTTTCAGACCAGAGCTGGGCTCTGGTGTAGGTAGGGGGCTGCTGGGGTGGCTGGATCCGGGCAGTGTTGGGCTCTGGTGGAGTTA